ATACAATACGGCAATTGAGTGTGGTTTGCTCCATGACAAGGAGTATATAAAAAAGGTTTATATTGAAATGCATGCAAAATATGTGCATTAATATAAAATATGTACAAAAATGGTGCACAAGACCACGTACGTAATTAAAGGTAGCATGTTTCCATATCAAAAGGGATGTTACGATGCAGATCAGTGCAGAACAGGAGAGAGCTGAACCGCGATTTGAAAGACCATTACAATCTATCACAACCAACATTAACAAGTAATTAGCTCAGAATGAAGTTCCACTAGCAGCAAAAACAACAACATGCAATGAGACACATGAATGAACCGGAGTGAATCATGGAGCAGCTCGTTTTTCAGAGCTAAAGATGCAACCCTGTCTATTTCAACTAAACAAACGGATTCATTTGTTATTTATTTAAAACACTTATGAGTCACTCTTCTACTCCCCGTCGGTCCTAAAGCAATAAACAACATTTTGAAAATATTATCGGAAAAGGATGAAAAAGCAGTTTTCAAAGCCAAAGATCACACAGGTTAATGCATTTTTGGCCACATCACACAGGCACAACGTGTGGGTGTCAATGAGCTCCAGGAACTGGACTTGTTTTGAAGGTAAAAATGAATGTATTTAAGCAAATCGCAATTTATGCGAAGTCAAAAAAGCAAACGGCAGACAAAGCCTCCAAAAACGGTATAGGTTTTCTGGGCTAATCTGATATTACTTGACCACATGGATCATTAACTTGCTTGCTTGTATAAAACAGTCTTTTGTTCTCCCCATAAGTCAGCTAGAAAATGAGATTTTCCAAGCCTTAGAATTGCTCTCTGGTTAAGCGGGTGCATTTTTACAAAGGCTGCCGCTGCCTCTCACTTTGGCGAGCATCCATTTGGCACCCTCCAGGTATTATTGGGCTGCAACTTTCATCAGTCCATGCTATATGTGGCAGATGGGACTCAGAGTCCATCATCATCATCATCATCATCATCATTATTGGAGCACCCAATGGTGAAGCAGGTTCAACTGCTGAGCTTGCTGACCGAAAGGTCGGTGGATCGAATCCAGGGAGCAGGGCGAGCTCCTGCTGTTGGCCCCAGCTTCTGCCAACCTAGCAGTTCAAAAACATGCAAATGTGAGTAGATCAATAGGAACCACTTTGGCGCGAAGGTAGAGGCGCTCCATGCAGTCATGCCGGCCACATGACCTTGGAGGTGTCTATGGACAACGCCAGCTCTTTGGATTAGAAATGGAGATGAGCACCAAACCCCAGAGTCGGACTTGACTGGACTTAATGACAAGGGGAAATATTTTATTATTATTATTATTATTATTATTATTATTATTATTATTATTGTGCTTCTATCCCACTTTTCTCCCATGGGTGAGACTCAAAGCAGCAAACAAAATGGCAAGAGCAAAAATACATGATACAGACACGACATCATCCTGCCCAACCCAACATACTATAAGTAATAAACCAACACATTGCATAGAACACAGTTACATAAATCATATAATACGCATAAAATATCATTATCATTGAAATCCCTGTGCCCATATTTGTGACAGTGGTGGGACTGAGAGAGGGGCCTCTCCTGATGATCTCGGGACTTGTGTGGGCTTGTAGGATGAGATGTGGTCCCTTGAGTAGGCTGGGCCCAAACTGTTTAGGGCTTTATAGGCCAAAACCAGCACCTTATATTGCGCCTGGAAACAAACTGGAAGCCAGTGTAACTGCTTCAGGAGCAGGGTAGTTCTTTCCTTGTATCCTGCTCCCATAAGCAGTCTAGCTGCTGACTTTTGTACCAGTTGCAGTTTCCGAACACTCTTTTGGGGCAGCCCCACATAGAGTGCATTACAGTATTTTACTGTAATTCTACTGTAATACACTCTACATGGGGGTGTCCCAGAAGAGTGTTTGGAAACTGCAACTGGTACCTCCATCTTGTCTGGATTGAATTTCAGTTTGTTCATCCTCATCGAGTTCATCATAGAACCGGTTCAGGGTCAGCATCCTTGACATCAGGTGGAAATGAGTGGTAGAGTTGGACATCATCTGCGTACAGATGGAACCAAACTCCAAAACTCCGGATGATCTCTCCCAATGGTTTTGTATATATGTTAAACAACACAGGGGATAGTATTGAACCCTGTGAGACCCTACAAGACAAAGGCCATGGAGTCAAACAAGAGTCTCCCCAACACCACCTTCTGGACCTGCAGCTAAAAAAGCCAATGGGATTTTGGCCTGCATCAATAGGAGTCTAGTGTCTAGATCCAGGGAAGTCATGCTATCCCTCAGTTCTGCCTTGGTTAGACCACACCTCGAATAATGTGTCCAATTCTGGGCACCATAATTCAAGAGAGATATTGACAAGCTGGAATGTGTCCAGAGGAGGTGACTAAAATGATCAAGGGTCTGGAGACCAAACCCTATGAGGAACAGCTTAAAGAGCTGGGCATGTTTAGCCTGAAGAAGAGAAGGCTGAGAGGAGACATGATAGCCATATATAAATACGTGAAGGGAAGTCATAGGGAGAAGGGAGCAAGCTTGTTTTCTGCTTCCCTGGAGACTAGGACGCAATGGAACAATGGCTTCAAACTACAAGAAAGGAGATTCCACCTGAACATTACCTGTACCTGTCCTGTCCGAACGTATCTCCTTCTATGTCCCACCTCAGAGTTTAAGATCTTCTGGGGAGGCCCTGCTCTTAGTCCCGCCTCTGTCTCAAACATGCTTTGGTGGGGATAGGGGACAGGGCCTTCTCGGTGGTGCCCCCACCACCACCTGTGGAACTCACTCCCTGGGAAAATTAGATCATCTACATCCCTCTTTACCTTTTAAAAAGTTAAAAACATGGATGTGGGACTAGGCCTTTGGGTAATTAAGCGGACAATGACAATAACAATGTTGACAATGGCTCGGAAATGGATTATGGATAAGTTTGATGGAGCATTCAACCAGTTTTCGGCTAATAATGGCCAACAGAGTGGTAACTCTTAGTAGTTTTTAATTGCGTTGTTTCAATGTTTTTAACTAATTATAATAATTGTTTGTTTTTATTATGTACATATTGAGGCACCAAATTGCTGCCGATTGGAAGCTGCCCTGAGTCCCCCACCCCCAGCGGGTTGAGAAGGGTGGGGTACAAATATTCAAAATAAATAAATAAATAAGAACTTTCCGCCTTTGAGAGTCGTTCAACAGGGGAACTCTCTACCCCGAAGTGTGATGGAGGCTCCTCCTATGGAGGCTTTTAAACAGAGGCTGGATGGCCATCTGTTGGGAGTGCTCTGAATGTGATTTTCCTGCTTCTTAGCAGAATGGGGTTTGACTGGATGGCCCATGAGGTCTTTTCCAACTTTATGATTCTATGACAGTGTTTCTCAACCTGGGGGTCGGGACCCCTGGGGGGGGTCACGAGGGGGTGTCAGAGGGGTCACCAAAGACCATCAGAAAACACAGTATTTTCTGTTAGTCATGGAAGTTCTGTGTGGGAAGTTTGGCCATTCTATCATTGGTGGGTTTCAGAATGCTCTTTGATTGTAGGTGAACTAGAAATCCCAACAACTACAACTCCCAAGTGTCAAGGTATATTTTCTCTAAACTCTACCAGTGTTCACATTTGGGCATATTGAGTATTCATGCCAAGTTTGGTCTAGAGCCATCATTGTTTGAGTCCACAATGATCTCTGGATGTAGGTGAACTACAACTCCAAAACTAAACGCCAATGCCCACCAAATAATTCCAGTATTTTCTGTTACTCATGGGAGTTCTGTGTGCCAAGTTTGGTTCATACCCACCATTGGTGGAGTTCAGAATGCTCTTTTATTGTAGGTGAACTATAAATCCCAGTAATTACAACTCCCAAATGACAAAATAAATCCCCCCACCCAATTCCACCAGCATTCAGATTTGGGCGTATTGGGTATTTGTGCCAAATTTGGTCCAGTGAATGAAAATACATCCAACATATCATATATTTAATTACAATGCATACCAGTAGCAAAATTACAGTTATGAAGTACCAACAAAAATAATGTTATGGTTGGGGGTCACCACAACATGAGGAACTGTATTAAGGGGTCGCGGCATTAGGAAGGTTGAGAACCCCTGTTCTATGACATCCCGGAGGCCACCTTCCAGTGCATGACATTTCCGAGACTCTTTCTTCTTGCAGAACCAGTGACTGAATCAGTCTTCACTGGCCAGGAAAGCCTAAATGGGAGCCAAACTCTAATCTCTAGTGGTTCGATTCCCTCCCTTTGCATAGGTGGGATTTGCCACCGCGTCGTAGCGGGGATGAAAGAAGAGAATTAGACCGTGTTTTTGTCCACTGCAAAGTGTGACTGAAATGTTTGTAATGATTATCAACACACTCTCGGGGGACCAAATTCATTTCCTCGTTTCTGCTTGGATGAAAGCAGGCCACAGACAGATTTATTTTAATAACAAGGGCGGGAGAGGAGGAGGGTTGATGGGAATGAATTGCAACTCAAACGTTATTTTCCCTTGCCATTCAAACTTTTTTTTAAAGGGAGCGAGAAGAGAAAGAAAGCAGCCCAGTTGCCAACCACCTTATGCATTCCTTTTTTTCACCTCCTTACATAGCAGGGAGTTGTGTGTGTGTGTGTGTATTTTTTTCCTATCCACATAAATCATTTCATTCTCATGCACTGAAACAGAATAAACTCTATGAATTTTTAAGTTGTCAGGGTAACCGGGTTTTGCCTAACTCTATGACACGTCCTGATATGAATGAGGCAAAGCTCATGGGGGAGATATGAAAATCCCCTAAAAGCCCAAAGCAGTGGGTTGCTAATAGGATGCAAATACTATTTTTTTATCCCAAATCAAATGAAGAAATTTTGCATACAATAATCAAGCAGAACATAATAGGTAGGTGGGGAGAGTTAAATAACATAACGTTGTTTAAAAGTGGAGCACTTCTCCTCCCGCATCAAACCCCCTCCCCATACACATACAAAGCACACCTGACGTACCTTTTGATTAAATGGGCTCTGCTGTTGACATAGTTGGAATCAAACGAGTAGTTTTCCGTCTGAAAAAACAGGAAAAAATAGCGATGTTACACGCAGGATTCATTGGCAATTCAGAATAGTCAGGCAAGCTAGTGTAGAAAGATTTTGGGGAGTTATTTCATGGGAGAGACACTGCTTGGACCCATCTACACTGCCATATAATGCAGTGTAGAGCCACACCCTTCCTTCCTACCTTCCTTCCTTTTTCTTACCTACCTACCTTCCTTCCTTCCATCCATCCATTGTCCTTCCTTTTTCTTTCTCCTTCCTTCTTTCCTTCCTTCCTTCCTTCCTTCCTTCCTTCCTTCCTTCCTTCTTTCTTTCCTTCCTTCCTTCCCTTCCTTCCTTCCTTCCTTCCTTCCTTCCCTTCCTTCCTTCCTTTTTCTTACCTTCCTTCCTCGTTCCTTTTTTTTCTTACCTTCCTTCCTTCCTTTTTCTTCTCCTTCCTTCCTTTTTTCTTACCTTCCTTCCGTCCTTCCTTCCTTCCTTCCATCGTTCCTTCCTTTTTCTTTCTCCTTCCTTCCTTCCTTCCTTCCTTCCTTCCTTCCTTCCTTCCATTGTTCCTTCCTTTTTTCTTACCTACCTTCCTTCCTTCCTTCCTTCCTTTTTCTTACCTTCCTTTCTTCCTTCCTTTTTCTTTCTCCTTCCCTCCCTCCTTCCTTTTTCTTACCTTCCTTCCTTCCGTCCTTCCTTCCTTTTTTCTTACCTTCCTTCCTTACTTTTTCCTTCCTTCCTTCCTTCCTTCCTTCCTTCCTTCCTTCCTTCCTTCCTTTTTTTTCTTTCATTCTCTCCTTCCTTCCTTCTCTTCCTTTTCTCCCCACTACATTTTCTTTCCCTTCTCTTCCTTTTTCTTTCTCCTTCCTTCCTTCCTTCCCCTGTTCCTTCCTTTTTTCTTACCTACCTTCCTTCCTTCCTTCCTTCCTTCCTTCCTTTTTCTTACCTTCCTTTCTTCCTTCCTTTTTCTTTCTCCTTCCCTCCCTCCTTCCTTTTTCTTACCTTCCTTCCTTCCGTCCTTCCTTCCTTTTTTCTTACCTTCCTTCCTTACTTTTTCCTTCCTTCCTTCCTTCCTTCCTTCCTTTTCTTCCTTCCTTCCTTCCTTCCTTCCTTCCTTTCGTCCTTCCTTCCTTCCTTCCTTCCTTCCTTCCTTCCTTCCTTCCTTCCTTCCTTCCCTCTTCCTTCCTTCTTTTTCCCTTCCTTCCCCTTTTGTTCATCCTTCCTTCCCCTGTTCCTTCCTTTTTTCTTACCTACCTTCCTTCCTTCCTTCCTTCCTTCCTTCCTTTTTCTTACCTTCCTTTCTTCCTTCCTTTTTCTTTCTCCTTCCCTCCCTCCTTCCTTTTTCTTACCTTCCTTCCTTCCGTCCTTCCTTCCTTTTTTCTTACCTTCCTTCCTTACTTTTTCTTTCCTTCCTTCCTTCCTTCCTTCCTTCCTTCCTTCCTTCCTTCCTTCCTTCCTTCCTTCCTTTTTTTCTTCCTTCCATTCTTCCTTCCTTTTTCTTACCTTCCTTCCTTTCTTTTTCTTTCTCCTTCCTTCCTTCCTATGAGTAAAGCCTTTTTTTATGTCAGGAGCAACTTGAGAAACTGCAAGTCACTTTTGGTGTGAGAGAATTGGCCATCTGCAAGGACGTTGCCCAGGGGACAACCGGATGTTTTGATGTTTTACCATCCTGGTGGGAGGCTTTTCTCATGTCCCTGCATGGGGAGCCAGAGCATACAGAGGGAGCTCATCTGTGCACTTCTCGGATTCAAACCTCCGACCTGTCAGTCTTGCCAGCACAAGGGTTTAACCTATTGCACCACTGAGGCCTCCAAAGGGAAGCTACTGGGAACTATGTAATCCCAGAAGGGTCACCCATGGTGGGAAGGTCACAGGAGAGGAAGTAAACAAAGAAGGATCCAAGAAGTCCTCAACAGCAGATGATAACAAGGTGCAAGTTATAACAAGTGTGAAGGCAGACAAAGGCTGGAACAGGTAACCAACTGTCATTGTATCCATGGCATTAGATTTTTTTTAATTGTGTCAGAAATGACTTGAGAAACTGCAAGTCACTTGTGGTGTGAGATAATTGGCCGTCTGCAGTGACGTTGCCCGGGGGCCGTCTGCAGAGACATTGCCCGGGTGCCATCTGCAGAGACGTTGCCTGGGTGCCATCTGCAGAGATGTTGCCTGGGGGCCGTCTGCAGATGTGTTGCCCGGGGACCATCTGCAGAGACGTTGCCTGGGTACCGTCTGCAGAGATGTTGCCCAGGTGCCATCTGCAGAGATGTTGCCCAGTGGGACGTTGCTCCTACTGGCTGTTAGGAGTTGTGGGAGTTGAAGTCCAAAACGCCTGGAGGGCCCAAGTTTGCCCATGCCTGCACTAGCATGTCGCAACACACAATTTGGAAAGATCTGCTCTGGTTGGATACAAAGAGCTGCTGTGCTTGAATTATACAGAAGGGACATCTCAACCCCTTCCTTATTCACCTAATTACTTAGTTATTCATTTACTTATTTATTATAATACTTATATCCCATCCTGTATTATGGAATCCCATGGCAGTGTACAAACAAAACAATATGAGGTTCTTATGGGGTTTTTTTGGGCTATAGGGCCATGTTCTAGAGGCATTTCTCCTGACGTTTCGCCTGCATCTATGGCAAGCATCCTCAGAGGCAGTGAGGTCTGTTGGAATTAGGACAATGGGTTTATATATCTGTGGAATGGCTGGGGTGGGGCACAGAGCTCTTCTCTGCTGGAGTTAGGTGTGAATGTTTCAACTGACCACCTTCATTAGCATTTGAAGGCCTGGCTGAGCCTGGGAAAATCTTTTGTTGAGAGGTGTTAAGATGTGCCTGGTTGTTTCCTCTCTGCTGTTTTGCTGTTGTAATTTTAGAGTTTTTTAATACTGGTAGCCAGATTTTGTTCAGGAGAAATGCCTCTAGAACATGGCCCTATAGCCCGAAAAAACCCACAAGAACCTAGTGATTCCAGCCATGAAAGCCTTCAACAATACATAAAACAACATGAATTTATTTATTTATTTTTATTGATTTATTTACAGTATTTATATACCGCTTTTCTCACCCCTTGAGGGACTCAACCATAAACCATTTCAGGTTAAAAACGGCAGTGATTCAAACAGGATAAAAACATATTCAACAAGTCAACAAGACAAGGCAGCTTAAAAAGCTACAAGAGTTTAAAAACACATGCATGTACGTTTAAAAGTAAATTAGCTCCCAGAGGCCATGTTTTCCCTTGGCGTTGGAAAGAAACCAACATCAGCGTTAATCAGATCTCCAAGGGGCATCCAATCTACAAGTGGGGTGCTACACCACAAGAAAGGCCCCTCTCTTGTCCTCCCACACAACATATTGCGCTCACGGGCTGGACGCAGAGGAACGGCCCTCCTGCTGATGCAAGTCCTTGTGTAGGAAGACAAACACACACAGAGAGAGGTGCTCCTTCATCTGCTTTAGGAAGGTAAAGAAGATCTGCAAATCATCCCATCTCCAACATGAAAGGTTATCATTTCATGTTTGAACATTGATTTTTAGCATCCTTTTAAGAGTTTTTAAAGAGCATTTGAATATGCGTGTGTGCGTGTTTACGTATAGGAATACTTTTTGGACAATGTTTTTATTTGCTCATGATTTCCATGTGGACAAGCACACTGGGATCCTTCGAATAATTATGGCGCGTTGAGATATCCTGTTGAAAAACCTGTCAAACACAAAGAAGGGTTTTCACTTTTGTGGGTATTCTGCATTGAATATTAAGTATTTGCATTTTTTAAAATAAAAAATAGGGTTTTTATTTTTAAAAAGCTCCACAATTTGAAAAGCCATGTAAATAAATCTATGAAAACTGTCAAGACTTCATAAAGGATGGAGAAATGTTTGAAATGTTGTATTCTCCAGTGGAAAAATGCAGTAAAAAGCTATGAGGAATTGTTATTTAGGTGATGGACATAAAATTCCATTCCCTGCGTTAATTTGTGCCATGCAAAACTGCAAAATTCCAAAGTCTTTCATATGGACATATCCAAATATGCATGTCTCTGAGTTTATATCTGTTTCTGAGGGCAGGGCTTTAGCACAGTGAATTAAACTGCCAGTTGTAGAAAATCTTGCTGATCAAAAGGTTGGCAGTTCAAGACTGGGTCGGGGTAAGCTCCCGCCGGCAGCCCAACTTTTGATCGCCTAGCAGATTGAAAACAGCAATGTAGGTAGATAAATGGGCACCACTTTAAGTGGAGAGGTAATAAAAGGTGCCCAGGTGGACATGCCAGAAATTCCATCGGGAGGATGTCGATGGACAACAAAGCTCCTCGGCATGGAAGATGGAGCAACAGCACCTCCCCGTGGCCAGAGTCGAGCATAGCCTCCATATGCCAGAGATGGGAAAAATATGCAAAATATAGCTTTGTCTGTGTATTGTCTGTTTTTGTTAATCATATAATGGCATTAACCATTCAGTGCAGATAATGTGGATTATCTGCTTTGATAATCTAGATTATATGGCAGTGTAGATCCAGCCTGAGCACCACCAGTTGCCTATTCTCGCATTAGGCCATGTTGCAAGGCATTGGGCCATGTTGCAAAGTTGTCATATTATGGTACTGATAAAATAAAAGCTTGTTGACCAAAAGGTCGCAGGTTCGAATCCGGGGAACTGCATGAGCTTCCGCTGTCAGGCCCAGCTCCTGCCAACCGAGCAGTTCAAAAACATGCAACTGTGAGTAGATCAATAGGTACGACTCCGGCAGGAAGGTAACGGCACTTCATGCAGTCATGCTGGCCACATGACCTTGGAAGTATCTACAGACAACGCTGGCTCTTCGGCTTAGAAATGGAGGTGAGCACCACACCCCAGAGTCAGACACGACTGGTCTTAATGTTTTGTTACCTTAAAACAAAACTCATTCTCATTTTTCAAAAAAAAGGTATGCTCTCTTTTTTGGTTTATTATTATTATTATTATTATTATTATTATTATTATTATACTGACACAAAAGCACAGTATGTCACAGCAAACGAG